TCTTGAACTTCCAGCCTCCAGAACTGTGAGAAATCAATTTCTGTTGTTTAATCTGTGCATCTGTGGCATTCTTCACAGCAGCCCCCGCTAAATGAGATTAAGACCTGAAGGCTTCTTAGGAGTTAACTACATGGTCTGATCAATTACAGACGCAAATGCCTTCCCTTCACCGGACTCACTTGCTAAATGACTTGTGTGTGAAACGTGTGACGGCATGGAAAGAACAGAAAAGTGAGAGTCACAGGAACATGAGGCTCCCTGCACTTTGGGCAGCCAGGGAGACGAGCTTCTAACTTAAACATCTCTGGGGAGGGAGAGACCATGGCAGCGGGGGTTGAGTTTCATGTCATGGACTCACAAAGTTGGGGTTTCAGAAGGGACCCCAGGAATCAGCTAGTCCAACCCCCATTCCACAGAGCAACAAACCAAGGCCCAGACTGAGGAAGTGGTGGTCTGAAGTCTCACAGCGGCATCGCTACACTTGGCCTCCACGGCACACGAGCCTAGGCTGGGCACTGAACAGCTTCATCCAGCCCTATCCCAGCAACACCCTAAAAGGCAGGCAGCCTGATTATCTTCGTCTATTTTCTGATGCTTAGAAACAGAATATCTGAAACTGAGTAACTGATAAAGCAAAGGAACTTACTTTTCACAGCTACTTCTCGCAGCTGCCAAACTAAAATGACTTTGGCAGGTGAGAAGTCCAAGGCCAAGAGGCCACATGGTGACAGTCTTCCCAGTGGTCAGGTGGCGAGGGGCTGCGTGTGCTAACGTGCTAGTTCAGGGGTCTCTTCCTCCTACGAAGCCACCAGCTCCCTTCCCATGATAACCCATCAATCCACTAACCGTGAATGAATGAATGACTCCATCCATGAGGGCAGGGTCCAATCACCTCTCAAAGGCCCGCCTCTCAACATGGCCACAGTGGGGACAGTCTCAGCCTGAGTTTTGGAGGGGACATTCAACATAGCACACATCATCCTCATTTTACAAATGGGAGACCTTGAGAAATTAACTTTCAAGCCCAAGGTCTCGAGCGCTCCCCACGGTGGAGCCAGGATGAAGCCCGGGTCTGCAGTGTTCCAGAGGCCAGGCCCTAGGCCACTGCTTGCCCTGATTCCCCACACAGCGCCCGTCGTCACCCTAGGCTGGTTGAGACATGGCAAATCCAGCATGGAGCTGCTGGCCCCGCACCTCCGCCACCCCTATTACTCCCCGCTGCTCTTTCTCTCTCCATTACCCTGCGCGTCCAACCCCGCAGCAAGGGCTGCACCCCCACCTCCACCCTGGCCCAGCCTCCACCTCCTGCCCCAGGATCACCTCTTGCCTGCCTTCTTCCTGTTGCCCTGCCCCCAACTCTCCAACCTCTACTTTTTTAAAACAGCTTTATTGGGAATTAATTTGCATACCATAAAGCAGCCCTTTTAAAGTATATGATTAAGTGGTTTTTAGAGTATTCATGAAATTGTACATCTAACGCCACTATCAAATTCCATCTTCATCACCCCGAAGAGAAACCCCAGGCCATCAGCAGTCCCTCTCATCCTCCCCTCCCCCAGGCTGAGGCAACTGCTTAACTATTTTGTGTCTCTATAGATTTGCCTATTCCTATATTTCACAGAAATTGAATCTTAACAATACAGTCTTTTGTGCCTGGTTTCTTTAATGGAGCAAAATGTTTTTATCGATGTTGCCAATACCAAGATGAACTCACTTGTATTTTTGAGACAGAGTTTCACTCTTGTCGCCCAGGCTGGAGTGCAGTGGCATGATCTCAGCTCACTGCAACCTCTGCCTCCCGGGTTCAAGCAATTCTCCTGTCTCAGCCTCCTGAGTAGCGGGTATTGCAGGCACCCGCCACCACACCTGGCTAATTTCTGTATTTTTAGTAGAGACAGGGTTTCACTGTGTTTGCTTGGCTGGTCTCAAACTCCTGACCTCATGTGATCCACCTGCCTCGGCCTCCCGAAGTGCTGGGATTACAGGTGTGAGCCACCGTGCCCAGCCTGAACTCACTTTTGTCAGAACCAGACAAAACAGGTCTGGGAAAGCAAAAAGCAGTGGAGGCGGCCGGGCATGGTGGCTCAAGCCTGTAATCCCGGCACTTTGGGAGGCCGAGATGGGTGGATCAAGAGGTCAAGAGATCAAGACCATCCTGGTCAACATGGTGAAACCCCGTCTCTACTAAAAAAATACAAAAAATTAGCTGGGCGTGGTGGCGCGTGCTGTAATCCCAGCTACTCAGGAGGCTGAGGCAGGAGAATTGCCTGAACCCAGGAGGCGGAGGTTGCGGTGAGCCGAGATCGAGCCATTGCACTCCAGCCTGGGTAACGAGTGAAACTCCGTCTAAAAAAAAAAAAAAAAAAAAAAAAATCAGTGGAGGCTCACACGTAGGTGTCTGAGATGACTGCTCTAAGAACTTTCCTAAAACCCGTTTGTGTCCTTCACCCTTCACACGTCCTGGGCTTTGATAAGGTCATCAGCAGATGTCCTTTAGGATGGCAGTGACCCAGGTAAGACGCTCCTGGAAGAACTCCTGCCCAGGAACAGCATCTTCACCAATGAACTGACAGCAACTCTGGCCTTGGACCTCTGGGACCCATGGACTCTGTTCTAAGCAGCTTATATAAATCTCTTTGCCAGTAAAAGCTCCCCTTACCCTTCCTTCACCGAATGGGCTGGGGGCTTGCCATTCCATGCATTCTGAATGATGACCCTCGTTTCTACTCCTGAGCAAACCCAATGTGTAGAGAGAGACTTTTCTCTCGAGCCTTTTTTCACGCTGACTTGCTCCAGGCTCACCCACGTTGAAGGTTGCCCATGTGTCGGAGTGTTGTTACTTCTCGGGGCTGGAGATTATTCCGTCGTGGGGACGCACCACCCCTTGTTCACCCACTCGTCGGCTGAGGGACTTGGGATTGTTTCCATCTTTTGGTGTTGTGACTAATGCTGCTATCAACATTCTTGTACAAGCTGGTAGGGACAGATGTCATACTCTACTTCTCAGACTTTCAGAAACACGAACTGATCTCCATCCTCCCCTTGTTCAACTGCCTGGTAGTGTCCTTAGAATGGTTTTAGGATATCGTCACGCTCCATGTCACAGCCCACCTGATCGGGGCCAGGAGCCCCTCCCCAAACTCTGCCAGCCTCCTTTGGCCCCGAGCCCCCACCCAGCTCCAGGCACAGTGGCTGCTCACTGCTCCGCAACATTGAGCTCATTCTCCACCCACTGCCACCCCTGCCAACCCCGAGCCTCCACCCACTCCCAACTCCACATCTCTTCAGAGTCACACCCTTAACGCCACAACCCCAGCGGCTGCACCATCCAGGCCGCTCAGGGTGTCCAAGTGCCACGCGTTCTCTCTGCAGCGCTAAGCACAGTCTGAAAGTAGCTGCCTTCTCTTCCTATCTGTTGTCTTCTCTCTTCCCCAAGCCTGGGCCCCCTGAGTGCAGGGCCCTGGTCTCATTTGCTCTGGTAACCCCAGTTCCCCAGGCGGCATCTGGTTCATAGGAGGTGCTGGAGAAACATGCAATGGATGGGTAACAAAAGACTGCGTGACGGGAAGCCCCCGAACATGGCCTGGCAGAGCGTGGCTCCACACAACACTGCCCTTCCCAGAAGCCCGGCCGCTCACAGACTACCACGCCGGGCAGGCCTGGGTGGGGCTTCGCTGGCGTGGTTGGTGGGCTGATGCTGACTTTGGAGTTTTCTCCTGTATCATCAGAGCACATCTCCCCTCTCACAGAGGAAGGCAAATTCATCCTTGGGTCTGTAAGACTTTTTTTAAAAAAACAGAGGCTCACTTGTCACCCAGGCTAAAGTGCAGTGGCACAATCTCAGCTCACTACAACCTTAGCCTCCCGGGTTCAGGCAATTCTCCTGCCTCGGCCTCCCGAGAGCTGGAATTACAGGTACGCACTGCCACGCCCAGCTAATTTTTTATTTTTAGTAGAGATGGGTTTTCGCCATGTTGGCCAGGCTGGTCCCGAACTCCTGACCTCAAGTGATCTGCCCGCCTCAGCCTCCCAAAGCACTGGGATTATAGGCGTGAGCCACCATGCCCGGCCTGTAAGATACTGTAATAATACTAGGTGATGTGTGCACCAGCATGATACATAATCACTTTTTCTCTTCTCCTTTAAATAAATGAGAAAGAATAGACACATGGCACGGGTTTGGGACAGAAAACCACTCTGGCCAGCAGAGGCATCAAAGGCACAAAGCAACCTTTGGTTCTGCCAGGAGGCCGTTCCTCCGCTGCCAAGAGAGTTCCCACCTGCATCCCGGCGGCTTAGGCATCAGCTTCTGCCAGCTCTCAGGAAGGTTTCGCTCATGATCCACGTCTGTGTCTACTTCTTGATGCACTGGCTCCAGCCCAGCCGACACGCACAGCAGCGGAGAGCTGGCTGTCACACCGGCTGCTCAAGCAGTCAGGGGCCAAGTGCGGTCCTGGCACAGGGAGAACTTTCATCACAGCCATGGGGCTCGTCTGCGACTCCGTCTGAAAAGCCGCCTGCTGGGCAGTCTGTCTACTCTCAGCCGGGCACACTCACGCATCTGTGGTGGCAACAGGCGAGCCTTGTTGCTGTGGCTGTCCCGATGCACTGGGCTCTGTGCTCCAGCGGGCTGGCCCGGGCACGCTGCAGCAGTTGGCAGAGATGAGAGAGGAAGTGTGCAGTCCCCTGGCAGTCTCAGCTCAGGGCTGGCCTACAGTCACGTCTGCCACACTACTGCTCAAAGCCATTTTCCTAAATGTGCCACACTCAAACAGAGAAAACAGATGCCACCTCTTCAGATGAAGAGCTGCAAAGTCATTGATTTAAGGAGCAGCAAACTCCTGTCATCATTCCTTACTTTCTTTTTGAGACAGGGTCTTGCTATGTTGCCCAGGCTGGACTAGAACTCCTAAGCCCAAGTAATCCGCCTATTCACAGACCAAACTGAAGGTAGGCTGGATACTCTCATGTCCCAGTAACAAAATGCAGATGAGCCAGGAGAAAGGGGACTTTTTATTTCGGTAACTGGTTATAGAGAGAAGGCCTGGAAATTATCACCAGACTAACTCAAAATTACCATGTTTTCCAGAACTTGTATACCTTCTAAGCTGTACGTCTACAGGTAGGTGTGCATTCATCTAAAGACATAAGCAATTGACTTCTTCTAACTATAACTGAGATCTGAGTCCTGAAGACCTTCCTCTGGAGCCTCAGTAAGTTTACTTAATCTAGGTGGGTCTAGATGACAGGGGCAATTACCCGTATCTTGCCTCTTGCTAAATCACGGAGGTTTAGGGAGTTCCTTTAGTCCCCAATAAAGCTTGTTTGTGGAGGCCTGGGGAGTTTCTTCAGACCTGCAGTAAAACTTGTTTAATCCTAAACAAGCCCTGTTAATAATTCCTTTACTATCTCATCATGTTTTAAAGCCCAGGAAAGGCCTGGGCAAAACTCTTGGTGGGCTTTTATTACATTCCAGCCTTTGTATAAGGGTGCTGGCTCTTTCAGCTTTTAATATGTAACTTACCCACTCAGTCAGTACCGGAACAGTTGTTATGGAGGCCTGCGTTAGTGAGACCCAGTCTGCCACAATCCTCACTGTCAATTTGCTCATGGTTTCTATCATGCTTGCATATTACTTATCATGAGAACTGTAGCGAGATAGGGCATCATCATCTTTCTGGCTACTTCCTGCTGAGAAGGGGGTCATTGTTTTGGGGCAATGAATGCAGCATTGGAGTGGAAGAGATCAATTTTCTCCCAGCAGCACTCTCTGGGGGCTTAGAGGCAGCGCCTGCTGAAACATAATAGTATGAGTTCAAGGGGTGTTTTGGAACAACAGATGACAGGAACACAGATAAAGAGGTTGCTGCTGTTTTCTTCTGAAGTACAGGTTGTCTCATCTTCAGGTCACAGGGCTGTAAGAGAGCACAGTGTTTCAGTGATTTCCAATTAGGAAAAACGGGGGAAAAGGAAAAGAAGAAGAAAAAAATGAAAACATTATTTTGGAAACTTGTAGCCAGAAACATTAGAATTCCAGACTAGAAAGTAGTAAAATTGAAAAACATCAAACGAGACTAGAATTTAACAACAGGTGTACTCTAGTCTTGAAACATAATCTTTCTCTCTCGTTTCCCATTTTTACTAAAGACAAATCATAGTAGGACTGATTTACTGTATTACACTTGGTGAGATTATTTGTATAAAGTGCAGCAAGAATAATTGTTTTTCACACAGGCCTTTGAAATTGGATTTGATAGAACTCTGTTCCACAGAAGGAATCAGAGATAAGACCTTTTAAGGCTGGGCCTAGCCATGGATCTGTACCCTCAAAAACCGTTAATTGGGCAAATTCCTCTCTAGATTCCAAGATAACTTGGGGCTACTGGCCTGTCAGAAAGTGACATTCTTTTTTTATCACAGGTCAGAATCCCTGTACAGTGACTGTACACAAAATATGAGGCTGGTCTTCAAGGGTTTTATTGGTTCCATTAGTCAAATTTGATTCCTCAAAAGAAAGCATATCATTCCAATCAAAGCCTTGGTAAAAATAACCAGTTTTTTCAATTGTGTCCTGTTACAAAAGAAAACAGATTTTTATTGCACTTACACAAATAATTATACTGCCATAAATTAAGAATACTCACAAATAGTTTTCAAATTCTAAATAAATCAGGTAGAGAGAAACAAATATGCTGCAAATTTTGCTCATAAGAGTATACTTTACTTAACTGTTAAAAGCTGTCAATAGCTCAAAAGTTCCCTTCATTCTGAAAAGCAAAACAAAGGATCAGCAACATTTTAAGCAAAAATCAAAAAGATCACTTCAGTCTCCTATTAGTTCAGTTCATATAATTAATTCTTGCCTTGCTTGATAACAATGAACATTTTAGCTCTCTGAGAGTCCTGAACATTTCCCTCTTTTCTGATGTCACAATCTCCAAAGTTATCAGAAGTCTGCATTTAAGAGTACTTGTAGCTGGGCGTGATGGCTCAAGCCTGTAATCCCAGCACTTTGGGAGGCCGAGGTGGGCATATCACTTGAGGTCAGGAGTTTGAGACCAGTCTGACCAAAATGGTGAAACTTTCCCCCCACCCCCGTCTGTACCAAAAATACAAAAATTAGTCAGGCATGGTGGTGGGCACCTGTAATCCCAACTACTCAGGAGGCTGAGGCAAGAGAATCGCTTGAACCCAGGAGGCGGAGATTACAGTGAGCAGAGATCACGACATGGCACTCCAGCCTGGGCGACAAAGTGAGACTCCATCTCAAAAAAAAAAAAAAAGAAAAAAAGAACTCCTGAGCTCAAGTAATCCTCCTGCCTCGGTCTCCCAGAGGCCAGACCTCCTCCTTCCCATCCCTGACCTTTGTTACAGATTAGTACCTCCTTTATTGTCCTGTATGCAGCTCAGACCAGAGAGCACAAAGGCCTCACAACTGTTGCATCTTCCGTGTGGAAGGTTAAAAACAGCTTCTTCTTTTTTTTTTTTTTTTTTTTTTTGGAGATGGAGTCTTGCTCTGTCACCTAGGCTGGAGTGCAATGGCATGATCTCTGCTCACTGCAACCTCTGCCTCCCAGGTTCAAGCAATTCTCCTGCCTCTGCCTCCTGAGTAGCTGGGCTTACAGGTGCATGCCACCACACCTGGCTAATTTTTGTATTTTTAGTAGGGACAAGGTTTCACCATGTTGGCCATGCTGGTCTTGAATTCCTGACCTCAGGTGATCCACCTGCCTTGTCCTCCCAAAATGCTAGGATTACAGGCATGAACCACTGAGCCCAGCCAAACATTCCTTTCTTGAAAGAAAAAGACCACCTCGACTAATCAGACCATTATAACTATGCATTAAAGCCTTATATAGAAAGATGTTGAGGGCCCAGGCATGGAGGCTCACACCTGTAATCCCAGCACTTTGGGAGGCTGAGGTGGGTGGATCATGAGGTCAGTAGATTTAGACCATCCTGCTAACATGGTAAAACCCCTTCTCTACTAAAATTTAAAAAAAAAAAAAGAAAGAAAAAAAAAAGCCAGGTGTGGTGGAGTGTACCTGTAATCCCAGCTACTCAGGCTGGGAGAATCACTTGAACCCAGGAGGCAGAGGTTGCAGCAAGCTGAGATCATGCCACTGCACTCAAGCCTGGGCAACAGAGTGAGACTCTGTCTCAACAAGAAAGAAAGAAGGAAATAAAGTAAGTAAGAAAGAGAGGGAGAGAGAAAGAAAGAAAAAAGAAAGAGAGAAAGAAAAAGGAAGGAAGGAAGAAAGATGGATGTTGAAATTCCGGTAAGCAAGTGAGCTGAGATGGTGCCATTGCACTCCAGCCTGGTGAAGGAGCAAGACTCTATCTCAAAAATAAATTAATAAATAAAATTATAATCTTGGTTATCCAAAAAAAGGAAATTCCGGTAAGCTTCCCTAAACTTTACCTATGTGCGTGGTCCTGAACTTCTAGACTTCAGAACACTGACTTCCACTTTCTCGGTGGCTGTACTTAAACTCTGCACTTGAATAAACTCTCCTTCAACTAGGTTCTGGCCCCTTTGATTATTTTAGGTTGACGCCTGCATGGATCCATGCAGAGAGTCAGGCTATGTCTAGCTGCTTGGGGGTCTTGGGAAAGGGGGCCCAGCAGTGATGCCTTGCTGAGGTCATAGGGTTGGAGGTGGCACTGAAGCATGGGTTGAAGAAGAGTCTCTGAAGTCCTGAGGCCACACCATGTCAATGGGCTTCTCAGCACCTCCTCCCAAATCACCAGGGCCATGTCTAAGCATCTCTCTAACTCAGGGATTCTCCTGCTCACTGATAAATGTCCCTGAAGCCAGAAATTAGCAGCCCACAGATTATTGCCAGATGTTCTGTGGGGGCTCCCCAGGGTCCACATCTTCCTCACCTTTCCCCTCGCATCCTCACTGGTATTCAGCCTATTCTGGCAATCTCTCCATCACGCAAGGCAGACACAAGAGGTGCCCCATTTCAACAGCCGGGATTTCTTCTCTGTGACTTTCTCCCGACTTCCACTGTTGGCTGATAAACTTGGGAGGGTAAATAATGCAGTTTGCGGCCAGGTGTGGTGGCTCATGTAATCCCAGCACTTTGGGGGGCCAAGGTGTGGTGCTGTAATCCCAGCACTTTGGGAGGCCAAGGCGAGCAGATCACCTGAGGTCGGGAGTTTGAGACCAGCCTGATCAACATGGAGAAACCCCATCTCTACTAAAAATACAAAAAATTAACTGGGCATGGTGACACATGCCTGTAATCCCAGCTACTTGGGAGGCTGAGACAGGAGAATAGCTTGAACCCAGGAGGCAGAGGCTGTGGTAAACTGAGACTGTGCCATTGCACTCCAGCCTGGGCAACAAGAGCAAAACTCCATCTCAAAAAATAAAAATAAAAATAAATTCAGTTTGCTATCAACTTCTGCCATAGGATAGGCTTTAGCTCCAGGTTTGGTTTCAAGAATTCTTTTAGGGCAGGGCTCGGTGGCTCACGCCTGTAATCCCAGCACTTTGGGAGGACAAAGCAGGTGGATCACTTAAGGTCAGGAGTTCGAGACCATCCTGGCCAACATGGTGAAACCCCGCCTCTACTAAAAATACAAAATAGCTGGACACACCTGTAATCTCAGCTACTTGGGGGGCTGAGGCAGGAGAATCACCTGAACCTGGGAGGTGGAGGTTGCAGTGAGCTGAGATCGTGCCACTGCACTCCAGCCTGGACAACAGATCGAGACTCCATCTCAAAAAAAAAAAAAAATGGTTTTAGGTTAAAGTGCTCATGCAAATATCTTGAGTTCCCAAAATCACTGAGCTGAAGGGAAACGTCAAGCTGGGAACTGCTTAAAGCACACCTGCCTCCCACTCTACTCCAGGCATCCCCTGGGCTCACTGAGGTCAATGCGAATCGGATCGCCTCCTCTGGAAAGGCTCATCAGAAACTCAAAAGAAACCGACCACTTGTCTCTCGCCTGCCCGTGGCCTGGAAGCTCCTCTCCTGCTTTGAGTCCCGCTTTTGCTTCGAGTTTTCCCACCTTTCCTGACCAAAACCAACGTTCATCTTACGTATGTTAACTGATGTCTCAGGTCTCCTTAAAATGTATGCAACCAAGCTGTGCTCTGACTGCCTTGGGTACATGTCATCAGGATCTCCTGAGACTGTCATGGGTGTGCGTCCTCAACCTTGACAAAATAAACTTTCTAAATGACCTGAAACCTGTCTCAAGTTTTCAGAGTTCACAGTCAACCAAGCACATGCAGGAGAGCTGTCCACACCATCCGAGCGTTTGCGACTGTGCCAATGGCAGTCTTGTGAGTGAACTTCATCAGGAAGCCCTTTCTGTTAATGGCAGGACTCCCCCCTCCCCCAAAAAAGCATTTCTATTCACTCTTATTGGAGTGTAAAACTCCCTTCACAAATTGGTGAAAACTAAATGTCAGAAACATTGCTTTTCAGAAGACATTCAGGAAGGGAATGTGTGGAGCAGCTGTGCAGAAATAATAAAATGTTCGTTTTTCTTCCAGACCAGCTTATCTGCAGTGAATTCCTGGCACGGATACAAAGTGATTATTAAACCATGCAGAAACATGCCTCGGGTCCCCAGTAAATGCTCCTTTGCACACTAGCATACACCATCCACACCAGTGGTTTTTTCAACACGACCAGGTTTGGCCAGCTTCGTCCCAGGCATCCCCTCCTGGACGCCTGTTGTGACTCTCCCCAACCATCCTGCCTGTCTAGAAAGGAGCACAGGTAGAGCTGCCTGACTCATGAGCCCCCAAACCTGTTCTAAGGTTTTGTTGTTTTTGTTTTTGAGACAGCGTCTCTCTCTGTCACCCAGGCTGGAGTGCAGTGGCACCATCTTAGCTCACTACAGCCTCAACCTCCGTGGGCTCAGTGATCCTCCTACCTAAGCCTCCAGAGTAGCTGGGACTACAGGCATCCACCACTGTGCTTGGCTAATTCCTATATTTCTTGTAGAGATGGGGCTTTGCCATGTTGGCCAGACTAGCTTTGAACTCCTGGGCTCAAGTGATCTACCTGCCTTGGCCTCCCAAAGTGCTGGGATTACAGGCGTGGGCCACCGTGCCTGGCTGAGACTAAGGTTTTCATAGGGTACAAATCCATCAATGTAATTTTCAGCTGTTTCCTGATCAGAAGCTTTTCCACCACAGCTATGCAGATTGTTTTACACCAAGACACTTCTTGAATATTCATGTTCACCTTTAAAGCTCAGTTCTTCCTGCTATATTCTAGCTCTTTCATAACCAACAAACCACTCCTTGGCATATGGTGACTTCTGCATTGCCAACTACATTCCCCCCATTCCTGGTCAAGATCTCTCTTCCTATGCTACACACCACAGGCCCCATGTTTTCCATATTTCAGTGGCTCTTGATAATCACAATTATTGTAAATCTTCAACTGTTTGTCTTTTTTTTGTTTAACACAGAGGGGGTCTTGCTATGTTGGCCAGGTTCATCTTGAACTTTTGATCTCAATCAATCCTCCCACCTTGGCCTCCCAAAGTGCTAGGATTATAAGCATGAGCCACTGCGCACAGCCCAACTGCTTGTCTTTTGATTTTCTAAGTCATGGGGTCTTCCCAACATCACTGACACTTTCTGCACTATAGACAAACAGAGTGTTTCTTTCTTTCTTTCTTTCTTTTTGTCTTTTGAGACGGAGTTTTACTCTCGTTGCCCAGGCTGGAGTGCAACACTGCGACCTCAGCTTACCGCAACCTCTGCCTCCTGGGTTCAAGCAATTCTCCTGCC